TAATTTTTTCAGAAAAAAATTTCTTTGATCAGAAGTAAAATAACTTATAAAGTTCAATTTAAATTTTTTATAATTTAACTTTAATTTTTAAAATTTAAATGTTTTAATGTTTAATGGTTTAATGTTTGCAATAGAATGTTTTAACTTTTAAAACTATTTTCAAGAAACAAAATACAACTAACTATTCAAAATATAATTAACTGTAAAATGTTTACAAAATTTATGATTTACGAAATAAAAACTTTTTTCCTCATTCTCCCTTGTTTCTTTAAATTCTTTTTATATTTTCTGACTTTTTTTCAATTTCTAATTTTAATCGTAAAATAATTTGAGTAAGAGAATTTTAAAGTACTCTTTTGCTTAAATAGATTTCATTTTAAATAAAATTCCTTAAAACAACTTGCGTATTTATAGAAAAATAGTATTTATAGTTTAATCTTGATATCACTTTAAATAAAATAAAAATATAAAAAAATGGTGTCGCATTTTTCATGTTCTACAAATTTTGTTAAAGTAAGGTTTAGTTAGAAGCTTATATTATGAGTTTACAACATATAAGATATAAATAGAAACATTTGTATGGCTGACTTTTGCGAGTCTTTGAGTATATCAAGTAAATTAAAAGAATTGATAAGTTAATATTTAAGTAACTATAAGTTACTGTAGTAACTTACAGTTGTAAGTTGCTTTAATTTAGTTTATAACTAAATTTACTGTGATGTACTTTATTCATTCAGTAAATCAAAGAAAATGTAACTTTAAAAGGTTCAAGGTAAAAGCAAAAAACTTTAAAGCGAAAAAGTTGCTGGTTTCTATTAGAAGAAACTAATAGTAAAAAAAATTTATTAAAAAAAAATCATATATATTTTAATAAACTTAAAGTAGCAAAATTAATTATATAAAATTGTTGATAAAATAATAACTTAAATTATTTATAATAAGCAAATTTGGTGCAACATTTAAAAAAACAAAGATAAAGACCAGGCTGTTTTGTTGAATGAAAAAAAAATTCTCCTTAATCCTTAGTCTTTTTCGTTTTCAACAATTCGCTTTTTAAAACATTATTGGCCTTTTCAATCTTTTAAAACATTTTTGTCTTCCATTATTATTATTTAATAATAATAATTATTAACTTACTATTATAATTATTATTATTATAATTGGCTTCTATTATTGTTTTTATTTAAAACTAACCTTTTAAAACATTATTGGCTTTATACACATTATACGCAGAGATTTGAAGTAATTTAAATTTAAAAGTGAATGAAATTCATTGAATGAAAATCTCTGCGCGAAAGAACAAATGATCATTCTATTCTGTGAAAAGCAATCGCAATTCGCCTAACAACAGTTATATATATATGTATATAAATATATATATACATATATATATATATATATATATATATATATATATATATATATATATATATATATATATATATATATATATATATATATATATATATATATATATATATATATATATATATATATATATATATATATATAACTATTAATATAATTTAACCAATAAAATGAAAAGTGTATGTCAAGCAAAATAACAACAGTGTTAAATATATTTTGTAGTATTTTGTTAAATATCTTTGTATATATATATATTGTATATATGTATATATATATATATATATATATATATATATATATATATATATATATATATATATATATATATATATATATATATATATATATGTATATGTATATATAACTGCTGTTAAAAAGAAATGATTTAATCTTAAATTTTTTATATGAAGAAACTAATACTAGAGAAAATGTAATTGTAGAATAATTGGAGAGGTTAGAGTGTTTTCTAGAGTTTTTAATTATTGAAACCACTTATTTAGCACTTAATAATAGTTTAGCGAAAATTGAAGAGAATTCCGGGGAACACTTTTGTAAGACTATGATGGAAATGTTGTCTAAACCACAAACCATAGAAGAATTGAAGATTGATAGTGAGAATTGGCTTCAGCATCATTAGCTGAAATGATTTTGATGTCTAACAATGAGTTAACCTGTTTAACTAGAATGGCTAATAGATTCAAGAACCTAGAATGGCTAATAGATTCAAGAGCCAAGAATCGTTAATAATAGAACCAAAAATGGCTAATAGATTCGAAAACCAAATTAGAGGGAAAGTTCTTTGCTAATAACTCTGCTTTATTCTGGAAGAAAAAAATAAGATCAGGCCCATGAATTAGAGATGGAATGTTAGACTTTAGTTAATAACATTGTTAAAGATTTTCCAAAATTTTCTGAGAAATCTTTAACAGCGAGATAAGATACAAGATTTAGTAAACTGAGAATAACAGAGTTTTGCTTTAGACAAGGCTTTTTCACATTAGCTTCTTGCAAAAACAAAAAAACATTCTCAATAGAGATGTTCTTGTAAAAAGATGGAAAAAATGATGGCTCCATCCCTAACTATTATATCAAACCCGACCCAGACAAATTTCAACCCCAGTCACTCACTATCTGTCACCTCATCAAATGAAATTGTTTTTAATAAAACTATTCTACCTTGCTAAGAAGCATTAATAAAATTTGACTATTGTACTAACCTCCGCACAAAATCATTATCAAGATTAATTTATCAGATTTGGAATTGAGAAAATTGCTTTTCTTAGAAGATACCTTTACCTTAAAGAAAATAACAAGGGAAATATTTTAATCGAGTTACACAATATTTTGACACTAATTAACCAGTTAAGCCAGATAACAAGTGTAAAGACTATTTCATTGCATTTTTAATAAAAGGCAAAGTGTATTGAAGAAGGGAAAGAAGTGCCCCTAGAAAAAATTAGGACAGTTTTTAGAATTAATGAATGAACTTTGTGACATATCAGCTGCTGAAACGACTTACAAAGTGGAAAGAGGATTGGGAGTTTTTACTGAACCAATGGAAGTATTAACAGGTAGTTTTATGCATTATTTCAACTATGTTACTTTTATTTACTTAAGGTAATTGTTTTCATTTTACTTGTATTGCATTGTTTATCTCCAATAAGGTTGGTTTGATGGTTGCTTGCAACACAACTCTAGCGCAGCGTAAGAAGAACAAAAATTGAGTCAACATCCACAGCACAGCTAAAGTAAGAAAAACAGTTCTAAGTGATAAAGAAATGGATGAAATTCTCGAGAAAAGTGCGAGTAAGTTAAGCAGCTCAGAAATCATTCTATTTCAGCCAAAACGGAAAACCAGATTCTCAACTGTTGCTATTCAAATAGATCCTTGACAAAATCATTCATTGATGTTTTTGACAGATTAGGACTCAGTGTTAGACATCAAATGGCTGTTCGTTACACTATTTTCCAATCTTGTGATCATCAGTTCACTGTAACTGTAGGGTAGAATGTGAAAAACAAGGTGCCCTAAGAAAAAGGAAAATAATATTAGTGGAAATCATAACAGACCTATAAAGCCATTTTTGAAAATGGTATAAGACATTTGGAGTTCTATTTCATGAGCCTACAGATGTAATGAAATTTGAGTGACCAGAAGAAAGCCATCTTATTCATTGCTGGCAACACTTTGCTTGAACTGGGCTTGAGGAGAATATCTTTCTAAGGGCAGATTATTGAGAACTGATTGAACTGACATTTATTATCTTGGAGGTTAATTGCTAATTAGTAAATTGTTTAACTTTGAAAAACTGGGAGGGCATCATTGTGCAAGATTTATGTGCAATGAGGTCTATATGTTAAAACTTGCTCAACCCTGATCAATGTTATAAATTGAAAAGAATGACTGATTTTATCGCGCTGTTTCACACAAAGGTTTTTTTTACAAAAAACGCATCTCAGCTATGGCACCGAAAGTTGATTCAGTACATTGCCAATATGCATTGGTACTGTTATATAAGCAAAACCGCTTCTGATGCAGCCACTCAGTCTTTCAATAGATACCTATGGTATTTAACTGAAGAGTTAGTTATATTGAACAATCTGCCATGGCATTGAAGCTTACAACTCAAAAAAAAAAGAAATAAATTACTTAAAACCACTTGACTATTTAATTTGGGGGGAACTTCAATTAATTTTTAATTGTCTAATTTTTTCATTCAATATAAATAAGATAGTAAATAATACTTTGTGAAAAGTTAGAGTTGTTAGGGATTATATTAGTTAGCATTTTAAGCAAAAATACTCAAAAATAGCGGTAAAAAAGGATTTTTTCAAATGTTTCTACCTGAAAAATACTTAGTACATATTATTTTTAAGTTAATCTAAACCTTGATTTAAAAGTTGGTGTGATAATTCTAAAATATTATGGGAATAGGACATCCTATTGTTCTATATATCAGATAATAAACTACAATAATGTAACTAAACACTTTATTGGTAAATGAAACTTTGCTGGCTTTAGCTTGCATTCATTTTATAAATTATAAAATAAGTTTGCTTAAATTTGTGAACCCAGTTATGTAATTAAACAGCAAGTTGATGATTGTTTAAAAGAGATTATTTAAAGATGGTATAAAATATCAATATTGCTTTTTGGTACACAGTTGTACTAGGTTCAGTATACAATCAGTAATATTATTTCCCTTAGCTTTTTTTCTTTTAATTTTATTATAAAACTATTAGTTAGATAAATATAATTTAATAATTAAGTCTAAACTACTGTATAATTGGCTAGGTTAAATGATTTCTCATTAAACTGTACGTAATGCACAATTAGCATAAAATATTATCTTTCGGGTATTTAAGACTGATTGTATTTGGATATATGATTCTGCAACAGCCATAGTTGCAGATCTATTTGTTACCAATCTTGTAGATCTTATGGCCAAAAATATAAATGTTTAAAACAATAAAATTTTGACTAATGTACATTTGACTTTTAGTTTTGTTATTTAAGGTTTTTGTATCTACCATGAACATGAAAATGTGGTTATTCATTAAAATATTTTCTTAATTAGCAATGTAGTTTTTTATTATAGCTTTTTAGATAATGCAGTGTATTTATTTTTAAGGGCCAAAATTGTGCAATCCCATGTTCAAAAGGATATTTTGGAAATGGTTGCTCAGAAAGATGTATCTGTAATAATTACAGAACATGTAATCCAGTAAATGGAACTTGTATTTGTAAACCTGGATATACAGATTCAAAGTATTTTGTTTTTACTGTTTGTTTTTACATTTGTTTTAGTTATTTTTCTTATTTTTATTTCTCAATATTAATTTAGATGTGGAACTAAATGTATGGATACATATGGAGAATCTTGTCGAAATTCATGCCAGTGTTATGTTAACAACACTAAAGAATGCAGTAATGTTGATGGAACTTGCAGCTGCCATAAAAACTGGACTGGAGAATTTTGTCAAACATCTTGTGAAAACAACACAGAAATATGTATGATTGACTGTAAATGTAAAAATGGAACTTGTCTGTTTGATGGCAAGTGCCTGTAAGTATTTTTTTTTTACATAATTTTTATATTTTTATCATTGATAGAGTTATGTTGTTTTTAAAAATACCAAAATTTTTTAATTGAAAAGAAATTTTGCAACAAACATTTTTTTGTCAATTTTTTTTGTTTTGTTTTTGAATTTTTGATTTGTTTTGTTTCAAGGTTTGAGTCATGCATTTTATTTAATGCATTGATGACATATTTAATTCATTAATAGCATAATTATCTTAATTTTAGTTATAAAACTTATGAAATGTCTTGCTATTGTGTTTAAATTTTGATTGAAATTTCAATCAAAAACCTAGAAATAACTTGTTTATAATGTATGAATAATGCTTTGTGTGGATGCATGTGTGTAAACTTTATTTAAAAATATCTTTACACTTAAACAACAGTTATAACTGTCTATGGTGAGACTTTTCATTAATTGAAATTCATTAAATGATGGTTTAAATTTAAGCAGGTACAATCTAGGTATAAAAAAATTATATTATGATAAATTATAAAAAAAAAATTAAAAGTTTACATAACCAAAAGCTTATATTGAGTAACATTTTTTTTTAAACATCATTTTCTAACAAGACTGCAAGCAACCACTATTTGAGTTGAAAATTACTGGAAAAGAAAAGATGAAGTTTATAAAGCAAAAAAATGATAAACAGATGACATAAAAGATAGCAAATTATACGAATCAGTAAAACAAGATGCAGGAAGCAAATTCCAAAGAGCTAATGTTCAAGAAAAAAAACAAAATGAATAAGAATTTTTGGAGCACTTACGAACAGTAACAGTAAAAGGATGAGACTTAATTGAATAAGTAATACAAGAATGAATTTTAGAAGATAGCACAAGCGACGCTAGCTCTTTAGAGCAGGGCCCATTAAAATATTTATAAAAAAGAGAAAGAGAAGCAACACTGTTACAATGGTTGAAAGTTGGCTGCAAGAGCAGGCCAACTTTCAACCAATCATGTTTGCAATGTCTTTTTTTGTTGTTTAAAAGAAAAAGGGAATTGTTTGAAGATCTGCAACAGATATGGCAACAGTATTTTATGCAAGAACGAATCAGAAATTTATAGAGATAAAGAATAGAGTACAAATTAAGAAAGGCAATCACGATAAAGAGATTAAACCTTAGCAAATGCTTATTTTTAAATAGATTTGATATATGGTTTCCAAGAAAGGTCAATAGTGCTTAGTTAATCCTATATAAATAAAGTTAGTTAATCCTAGATGAAAGGTGTATAGGAAGATCTAAGTTGTTCTGATAATGATTAGCCAAAAAAAACTGAGGTTTCTCTGAGTTAAAGTTCACTAGCCACCAAGAGCACCATGCTGTAGCTGAAGTAAGATCTTTTTCAAGCGCCTCCAAGAATTTTTTATCAAGACTGCTTCTTATTACTTTTTATTTATAATTCAAAGTATAAAAAAAAAAAAATTAAAAAGAAAAACTATATATATAACATACTGAAAACAAAAAAAAAAGTAAACAAAAAGTTAATAATAATACATCCAAGTTGCCCTTTAAATTATCTCAACAAACTTGATATTAATTCAAAGTATACAAGAAAGAAATAATGTAACTAAAAAATGTTTCATATAAAAAATTAAATAAGACAAGAATATATGGTATCATCAATAAACAATGCCATCTTTGAATTTCTGAAAAATTAAAAAAAGTATAGCACCAAAGATAGAACCTTAAGGAACCTCTGAAGTTACAGAAAATTAAGAAGAGCGCTGTCCTTTAAGGACAACACTTATACTATGATTGGTAAAGAAAGATTCAATAGATTTAAAGATGTTACCTGATACACTGTAAGAAGAGAGCTTATGGAGAAGACCAGCCTTGGCCTCTCCATATCTATCTAATGCATGATAAAACCCATCAGTTATTATTGTTAACAAATTAGCAGTAGAATAAGAAAATCAAAATCAATATTGATGATCAGAAAGTTTTTAAATTCAAGATGAGAAATTAAGTGTTTGTTAATTAAAGACTCAAAAACTGACGATTCATATTGCTCTCCAGATCATTTGAAAATGAGGATAACAGAATCTGTTTTACAGCAGGCTGGGAAACAAGACCTTGATTACTTATAGTTTTGAAAGTTTAGGCTACAGCTCCGGAGAACACTTCTGCAAGAATATAATAGGTATGTTGTCTGGACCACAAGCTTTAGAAGGGTCTAAGCAGGAAATCACTTTAGATACAGAAGCTGGAATAATACAAATGTCAAGCAATGAACAAGCCTGTTTGTTTGCTATATTTCAAGCAGGATGTGTTTAGTGGAAGAGATGATATTGATGAAAAGTTCATAGCAAACAATTCAGCTTTGTCATTAGATGAGGTAACAAAATCTAAACCATGCAAGAAAAATAGAATAACAGATTTGCCCTTATTATAGAACCCTAATTTAGCGGAGTCGCTAAACAAAATCGCAACTCCGACTTGTTATGGGAAAAGGTGTTCAGGACTCCAGAAGTCCTGAACGCCTAATTTTTGAGATAAAAATTTCGTGACCTTGGAATAGAGGGCTTTTTGGCGTTAGACAAAACCATTTTAAATGGTTTCTAACGATAGTCAACAGACATCTGTTTTCTGGAGAATAGTTTTGATGATAGATATGGAAGTAATGGTGACAGATATGAAAATTGCAGCAACACAATAAGATGTGATTTCAAATTCACAAATTGATTTCCTGCTTAGACTCTTTTACAGCTTGTGGTTTGGACAAGATACCTGTTATAGTCTTGCTGAAGTATTGTTTGGTGCTGTTGTCTGTACGCTGTCTATACTAAACTATTTAGCAAGTGCTTATCAGAGTCTTGTTTTCTAGTCTGCTAGAAAGGTGCATCCATTATCCCTATTTTCATCCATTATCCCTATTTTCTCTGATTCTGGAGAGCAATCTGACTCATCCAACTGCCCCATTAGTCTTCTTTCTATCATAAGCAAGGTTTTGAATCTTTAATTAATAAACACTTAATTTCTCATTTTGAATTGAACTTACTTTTTGATTATCAATATAGATTTCGATCTTCTCGTTCAACTGCTGATTTATTAACGATAATAACTGATAGGTTTTATCGAGAATTAGATAGATGTAGAGAAGCTAAAAATATTGATCTCAACATTTTCCATTTTCCATTAAATTTTATGATTTTTCTCCTGATTATATAAGGTTCTTTTTTTTTGTTCTTTATATTTTTTATGAAAAAAAGTTTATAACTTTTTCCCACCTATATTTAACATTTGTAAGCAGTAAAGCAGTAAAAATAAACATGCTATACTGAAAATGACGTAACAGGGTTAAAAGGCATCATGTCTACACCCCATAACTATATATTTTTTGAAAGATAAATGGATAGACATTGTATATCTTTTAAAAAAATTAAATTAATGATAATGGAGGACATAAATATCACAAGACTTTAGCGAAAAAAATAATTTTAAACAAAAATCAGACTTTGAAACAGTTAGAAGTTAAAAGACTTAAAGCTATTAGAAACGCGTTCTGCAAGAAAAATAGATTGCTCAAATGCCAGAAAAATTTAAGATATCAGAAATATAAACTAAATATAAAATTTAAAGAGTCAATACAAGTAAATAACATTTTATATATAACTTTTTGTATGAAAAAGCTTTAAAACAGTTTTTGTAAATAAACAATTTTTTTATTTATCAATTTATTTATCAATTTGCAAATAAACAATAAAAGTTTTTGCAAATAAATAATTGCATTTTTCACAAAAATTTGAAGTTTTGTATATTTCAATTTCCTAGAACAATTTTTTTGGTAACCACACACACCGTATCTTTGTCCCTGAGGGTGACAATTTACAGAAAAATGTTTTCCTTTCATTCTGATATTAGTTGAAATATTTTTTCTACCCTTTAGTGATTTTCTTACAAATCATTGAGATAATCTTCAACAAGTGAATGTATAAGCTCGATTAGAAAAGCTTTATGACAACTTTGGTTTGCCTTTTTATCTCAGTGACTTTGAAGTATATTACTTTAGCATTTACAACACATAGTTTTAGAAGTCTGAAAAAGACACTCTTCTACCACTTAATTGATTATATATATATGAAAGTTGTTATTATAAACAGCATGGAGTCTTTCATTTATGTGGAAAACAAGACATTTAGGAATTACATATATTTAACTAACAATTGTCAGAAAGAAACAGAATATATAAAGAAAAATCACACTTACTAGATAAAAAAGTTGGTTTGGTCTATCACATGGGTGGGCATCATGGTAGCAGGCATCAAGAAGCATTTCCCTATTTGAATTTTATGTACGTATTCACAATTTTATGTACGCGTTTTGCAATTTTCGTTACGCAAAAACTTTTTTCAATAAGTCTATTTTAAACAGTCTTTTAAAACAAATTAATTAAAACATTTGTCAAATATTTTTTTTAATTGGATAAAAAAACAGATAGATATCCTTTTTCTATTTTCCTTTTTTAAAAAAAATATGTTTTAAATTTATTTTATTAAATTTAAATTAATTTTATTGTTATTCATAGTTTTAGTAATTTATTTGACTAAATTTAATTAAAGTTCTTTTAAAAATTTCAAAATGCTCAGTTTTACAATTTTTTTCACTGATAAAATTTTCAAAATTTATGTTAAAGTAAAAAAAAATTTAATAAATTTAATTCAAGTTACTTTAAAATGTTCGCATTACATATAACTTCATTTTAATTTCAGTTAAGTTTCAAATAGTTCCAGTTCCAAATACTGGTCTGAATAATGCGCTTTTATAAATTTATAAATGATGTCAATACAAAAAAGTTTTTTCAAACTCGAGTTTAAATGTATTGTTTGGATTTTCCCTTTGCCATTAAATTTGGTGTAAAAGAATTTTTTTATAAAAGGAACCAAACTTTGAACCAATTAAAAATAACCAGATCAATAAATAAACTCTTTAAAAGCCTAACTTACATTTATATTATTAAAAAAAAAAAAAAAAAAAAAAAAAAATTGCTTTTGCTATAAATATATGATTGATAAAATATCAAAATTATACTGATATTTGTTAAAAACAAGTTCGGGTAATAACATCTTCAAACCGAAAAACTATTTTTCTTTTTGGATTCAGTAAGAAATAATAAAAATACATTAAGCTTCACTGTACATAAAAATAAAATATTTTAATGGAAAAAAAGCCGAAAAGTGGTAATCTTCGTTTAATTACAATTTTTATTTTATCAAAAGCCAGTTAGGGCAAAGGTTTTTTTTAGAAAAGAGAAAACCCAATCTAATTGTGTACACTTAAATCCCTTTAAGAAAATCAACCATAAACAAGTGTCCCTTCATATAAAAAAATAACCAGAAAAATAGTTTTTTAAAGAAAAAAAGTTAAGTTTAAGTAAGTATAAGATTTTAAAATAAGGAAATTTTTTTTTAATCAACATCAGGGTTAGGGTTAAATTTAGTTTATAACTTTTTTAAAAAACAATATTAAATTTTTTAAATTTTTAAATATTTTTAAGAATTTAAATTTTTTTTTTTTTAAACATTTAAAAGACTTACAATAATTTTTGATATGTTTTTAAATTTAATTACAACGAGGTATTTTAAAATGCGTAACTGGCGCAATTAAACTTTTAACAATGTAAATATCTTTATTTAATAAAGTTACATATATTCACGTTGCGCTTTTCTGTTATGCAACAAAATCTCATAACAAAGCCTGTGGTAGGGTATGTCTGATGCTGAATATGGCACCATGGTATCAATGATGTTATTATCATCACAACATTTTATATAAGGTTTTGTCTCTGAATCACTAACTTCACTATCTTACTATTACTACATTCAGACTCATTAATTTGGCATTCAGCTAAAATATCATCAACACTCACTATCTTTTTACACTTTTCTATTACAGAGCTTTTACAATAAGTTTATTATGGCCAATTTTTAGGCCAAACATAAAGTTATTCTTTAAAACATAAAATTAAGTAGTTTTGATTAACAGCTTTACTATATAAACCCTTCATACATTGATTTATAACTACGGGATTGTGAACAGCCCATTTTGGTGCAAAAGAGTTGAGGACTTTTAAGCAATTGTGCAGTTGTTGTAAACTCAGAAACAAGTCCTTAAAAATAAAAATATGTTTTTAAAAGGATCCAAATAACAAGTTGAGCCTAGACAAGTTGTTTTATTAAAGAGAATGATTTAAAAAAATGATGAATTTTTTTAGTAAAACAAAATAATAAACATATACCAAGAAAAACTAATTTTGTTGTTTTACTTGAAGCTTGTTGTCTCCATTTTCCTTTAAGTCTTTAAAATATATGCCGCAATCTACAGACTTTATAATTTATTCAATCGATTTAATTCCAAAGAGTATATGATGTCATTGTAAGTATTGTAATATGTAAGTAATGTATATAAACATTCAAGATTAAATAGTGTGGATTCTAGAGTTTTGTCAAATAAGATAAATGGAAAATATTTAAAAAAATGATAGTTATCTAATTATTAGTTTGTTTCAAAAGTTTAGCTATAACTTCAAAATAAAATTAGTTTAATATTAATAAAAAAACAGTTGTTGCTATGTCTTAAAAACTTGTTGCTATGACTTATTAACTATTATTTAATACAATATTTACTTTAAAATTTAATAAAAAATTGTTTTTTACTTGAGATGTCACGATGGCTTCTTTGGTGACCTTTGTGACCAAGTTTGTGTAAATTCAACTTTTGGATCAAACTGCACAGAAAAATGTAGCTGCAAAAATAATGCAACTTGCTCTCCTATTGATGGAGTTTGTTCTTGCGCTGAAGGCTGGACTGGAACTGATTGCAGCATTGAATGTGATAATGGGTTTTATGGTAAAGACTGCACTCAAAATTGCAGTTGCTCTATTCATGGAAAATGTAATAGATTTTCAGGAGAATGTCAATGTTTTGGGGAATATCAGGGGGAAACTTGTGAAACAAGTAAATTTTTATTATTTATAATTTGTTTTTAAAAAACACACAGTTGGATTTTAACTACTTACAAGTTGGAATTTTAACAGTGAAACTTTGCAAGTTTATGTTTATGTAGTTTGTATTATTATGTAGCACGTTTGTTACACCTTGTTTGTTATTATTGTATAACATTCTTGTTAAATATATTGTTTTTACTTTATTATTTGATATACTTTATAAAATAGTTTAAAAGTTTTAAAATTAGTTTTAATTTTTTTTTTTTTTTTTTATATATATATATTTTTTGTTTTAATTTATCTTTATTTCCTTTTTTACTGTATTTTTATATTTTAAAAAACCGAATAGTTTCTATCATATTTTTAAATTTTTTTTGCTTTAGAGTGTAGTAATTGGACATTTGGAATAGGCTGTAATAACACATGCATTTGCTTACAAAATAATTCTGTTAGGTATGTAAATTATTTAAGTTTTACATATTCATCTTCCAAGTTTGTATCAGCAAACGACATTGCTCACTTAACTTAATCTAAAAGTGTTTGAGGTATATATATATATATATATATATATATATATATATATATATATATATATATATATATATATATATATATATATATATATATATATATATATATATATATATATATATATATATATATTAACTTGTTTCTCCGCGCAGCGGCCTTGTTCGTAAAGGTTCGTGTTTCGGAGTTATAGAGTTGAGAGAGGGTTATAACAACTATTAAGTAGCCTCCTCGTCTGTAGGAGCCTTCTCGGCCTTGAGGAGGTGAATAAAATTTTGAAAAGACAGCTTTGCACTCCTTTAATAGGCTGACCATAGATTTAAACCTGTGTTACATTGTTTCCTGTTTTTTACAATGAATGCTGAATCATCTTCCCTTCTGTGTTGTTTATCATATATATTAATGATTTTCCAAATAATCTTACCACTAAAGTGGTATTTAGTTTGCTTGATGACACAATCATACACTTACCTCAAAAAAGTTATGAGCTTTTAATTGTTTAGAAAAATAAGCTGAATTTGAATGCGATCTCTCTTCTAAGAGAGTATGGTGCTCCTGTTTTCTTAATCCTCATTCCATTCTATAACTTTAAAATCTAATTCTAAATCTCTTATTTGTTATGTAATATTGTTGTCATATTTGTGCTGGTTCTTATAACTATGCTCATTTTCTACCTCAACTCAATCTCACATGACTTATCATTGAGCAAAGTTGCATCCTTTTACTGTAACTACTCAAAAAAATTTTATAAATCTAGTTAATTACCTCAAACACAATACTTTAGAAGTCCTGTTTTTATATTTTCTTAAGTCATTTAGTTTATAGTTTTGAGAGTGTTCTTTCAATCCTTTTCTTGTTATTTAATTTTCTGCTTTGCTTTCTGGTTACTACCAACTTTCATAATATTGATCGCAGTCATTTTAGAAGTATTTCTGCTATTAAAAATATATATTAATTTTTTTTTGTCTCAAAAATTAAAGGTATACCTATATTATATATAAAGAATTTGGTTTATATAGTATGTAACTATTTTTATAAAGCAGAAATAAGTTTTTTTAAAAAAGCAATCTGTTAGAAAATCTGTATATCAATAAAAAAAGGCAATAACCGATAACGGTATCGGTAACGGTATCGATTGTGGTAACGGTACTGATTGTGCAAAATTCATTTCGATTAAGCCAATACCAATGCCCATTAATCGTTACATCACTTTTTATGTACTGGTTGTACATCAAAAGTGAGGATAATAAGCCTCACTAAAGTTGAAGCAACAATAATAAAATGGTAAAATAAGCAACTGCAAAACCATGGTTAATTGGAATGTATCACAATCAACTCTACAAAACCAATCTGAATTGAGTTTGTTTAACCTTTAAGTTGAAGCAACAATAAAATGGTGAAATAAGCAACTGCAAAACCATGGTTAATTGGAATGTATCACAATCAACTCTACAAAACCAATCTGAATTGAGTTTGTTTAACCTTTAAAAACTAGTCATTAGAGTGACACCTTTAAAAAAAAACAAAAAAAAACTGGTAAATAAACATAGAAAGAATTTAAAAGAAAAAAAAGAGGAAAAAAAAAAAAGAAAAGAAAACAAATATATATTGTATATTATATATATAATAATAATCTTTCTGATTAGATAGCAATAAAGATAACCACTACCAAAACTAACATAAAAATAAGATATATGTTAATGAAAATAATAGTAATAAAATTAAAAGAAGCTATTATAAAATAAAAATAATAATTGTTTTATTAATACAGTAAAATAATAAAGCCATAATAATATAAGCGAAAATTAATATTCATTAAATATATACTCAAATAAAAATTGAGAAGAATTGATTGATTAGAAGGACATTAGTAATAAAAGAGTATTTAGTTATAATCTTTTTTTTTATAATCTTTTCTTTCACTTAACATCAACTCTTCCTCAACTTTCTTTGTTGTCCAAGGGACACATAAAAAGTAAACTTTTACATAGAAATGTGCGTATAAACTGTTTACGGGTTAGTTTTTTATTTATAAGTAGAAGTAGGTATAACAAATCTTTTCATCTTTTAAAATAGGCTGATATTGCTTGTGGGTTCGTTTTTCTTTTTCTTTTTTTTTTCAATTTTTCTGTTAATTAAAATTGAGTTGATAATGCCGCCAGGCATTAACTTTCTGCCAAAAGGCCAACTTTTTAAGGAGGCGGAAGCTGTAAACAGTGGCCTCTCGTTCATTTTTTAGCCGCAAAATGTTCTTTCTTCTGCCTCCAGTAGCTTCTGCTCTTCTATTGGTGGCCGCAGCCAGAGTTATTTTTTGGAGGCAAAATGTTTTGGAGGCTGACGCCATTAGGGAGGCAGAAGCCTTTGGTTGCCGCCCCAAAAAAAAAAGCGGAAACAGAATCATTTGGAGGCCGCTTCTAATGGTTTCTGTCTCCTAACTGGCTGCGGCCGCCAAATTGGTGGCGGGAATGTTTGTCTCCCCCATGTAATGAAAAATAATTGCTCGTTTGCCTTAATGCAATTAAATATTAACTAGAAACAAATGTTAAATATTTGACATCAAATTTCATTTTATATGATTATGAGCAGTATTTTAAAAAGTTCTAATTTAAAAAAAAAAAAAAGTTAAAAGTTGGAGATTTTACTTCTATGCCATTGGCGAATAAATCTTTTTGACTGAAAAAAAAAAAAAAAAAAAAGACTGATTTTGGTAAAAGTTTTTTAGAACAAGTCGACATGCTAAAATTACGTTAAATACAAATGTTAAATACTTATTTTTAACAATTGAATATTGTAAAAGTTATTGAAAAAATAACTGCGAATGTTTATAAAAAGTTTGCGACTACACTGTATTATGCTAATAGTTTGTATGTTGGCAAAACTATTAGCTTAATACGCTGTATTATGCTAATAGTTTTGCCAAATTACAACCAAAAAAAAAAAAAAAAAATTTATAAACTTTAAATATAAATACTTTTATAAATATTATGTATATTTTACTCTATAATTTTAAAACGTTTAAAAAATTAGACTCATTTACTTTTACACGTTTTAAAGTTAAGTGATTAAAAGTTTCAAACGTTTAAAAGTTAAAAATTTATTTGATAGTCCTAAAAAAACAACTGCTTTGACAAAACAAAACTTTGATGTCAAATATTTAACATTTGTTCTCAGTTAATAATTTAATTGCTTGTTAACTTAAAGGCAAATTTTCATTACATCTGTTGCCGGGAGGCAAATTTTTCTGCCTCCAATTTATCTGAAAAATAAGGCTTGAAAAGTATTTTGCCTCCAAAAAAATCTCTGACTGTGGCCATCAATAGAAAGACGGATGATGCCATCGGAGGCGAAACATAAAAAATTTTGCAGCTAAAAATTAATTGGGAGGCAGCCGCCTTCTGCTGCGGAAGAAAAATATAAATATTTTTCATTTTTAAAATTTGCTAAAATTGCTTGTGGGTTTGTATTTTTTTTTTTTTAATCTTTTAAAAATACTTTTATTGACAAAAAAAATTTTGTTTCATACTAATATATCGTAACTTTTTGTAAAGACTAAAAAGTAGAAAATAAAATATAGCAAAAACATTTGCTAAAAAATCCAATCTTTTTTGTACTAAAAAGTGGAAAATAAACTTTTTAATTTAAATTTAATAGTTCCGTAAACTAAAGATTGACAGGTTTGTTTTTATATAAATCTTGCGCAGACCTTTCAATCTTTAGTTTACTGAACTATTAAATTTAAATTAAAAAGTTTATTTTTTACTTTTTAGTACAAAAAAGATTCTACTTTTTAGCAAATGTTTTTGCTATAATTTATTATAAATGGTATTATTAATTGGTTCCAGTTATAATTATATTGATTTTTTATAGAGAGCTTGACATATTTGATAGTGTTGAAAAAGAAAGTGTGCAAATTACAATTTTCAGTATTTCGAGTGTAATATTTGTGTGTATCACTTGTTTTAACAAAAATTTATTAAACAAATTTGGTAGTTAATTTTGAAGAAAATTAAACACAAAGAGACAATTATAAAGCTTCACAAGATCTTTAAATTTTAGAATTTTTTTTAGGACTCAGGAAACCTATTTTGAATATTAGAGCGTAAAGGAGAAAATGTCATAATTCTTATGGAAGTACATTGTAAACTGTTTATATGATTTAATAGAAAACTACCATTTTGACCCTGAACAGTGCAACAATAGCTTAGATGGGAGAAAAACAAAGAATAGTAAATTAAAGTTAGAATATAATGGAGAACTTAATGTTGTGTTAATGACAACATACTATTGGCATGTGAGAGTTTTTTTATTTAAATGAATTAGTTGATTGTACCATGATGGTTTTTGTCGAGAAATACCCCCCAAAATACCCCGAGATACCTTTTACCATTAATTTTAATTTATACATTATCACTATCAGTCTTTTTTTAAGGGTGAAAAATAATAAATTCAGTTTTAATTATATAAAGAAAACACAGTTACTATTTAACCAATGATACAAATAATGGAGATCTGAGTTAACTTTTTTACAAAGTTGCGTGAGTGATTTACTTATGTATAGAAGATTAGTGTCATTAGAAAAATAATGAACAAAGTTTTTTGAGATCAATAAAGATGCCACAAGCAAAAGAACCATTATCAATCGCACCATGAACCATTTTCAATAATGCTAATAAGTGCTTAGGAAGTAGAGTTCTTTAAACGAAATCTGAACTAGCCATTAGAGACACTTAAAACTATCAAGAAAGTGGTAAATACAAGAATACATTAATTTTGCTGATATTGATAATAATGATATTGGTCTATAGTTATTGCAGTTAAATTTTGAGTCTTTTTTATATTGGTTTAACGAAGCATTTTTTAAAATATTAAGGAATATACCAGTAGCAAATGAGAGATTAAATAGTATAGAAAGTATTGAAAAAATA